TAATGTAGCCAAAAACAAATAGGAAAGGACAAAAAATGTTAAATAATTACAAAATTATTTACTCCAATGTATTTTATCGCAAAAATGCTTTTATAATAGAAAAATATGACCTCCATCAACAACATATATTCCAGCAGCTGTTTTTCGATATTCTCAGGAAGAATTGGCTTTCTACCTAGTGGCTTTTTCACAAATTGCTCCGGACGAATGTCTGCTTGCAAAGAGAGAGTTCGGAGGAGTTAGGTTCCATATTAAAAGCACCAATGGGGTCCGTATTTCACGCATCGCCATCTTGAATTAACTTATGTCTGTCAAGACCAAAATTTAAAAAACGTGAACATCACACAGATTAATATGTACACGTAAGTCTCTGGAACGGAATACATGCACCAGTGAACCTACACCTACACGATTTATATTTTATAAATAATTAAATTCACTTACCATTTAAAACTTTCGAATTTCGAAAAACACAAATACAGTATGCTGATTCACAACGGACAACCGTTTAACTGAAGTGAAACGGGTTTTCCCCTTGCTTTGGATGTCTGCCTAGTGCAGTCAGCCACAATCTGCTACAGTTTGCCTTTATTATCAGTTTGAAATGGAGAGGTTCCATAATATCTGCAGGGTTCCATAATACCACCTTTTCCTCTACTATTTTTGTCGATTCTACCAAAGTTTCCTTGAATTCCAGCTTTTCCTCCTCTAAATCCATTTCGGTAATGGAGATGCTATTAGCTGCGGTATTAACCATATTTCTGTATTTAATGGCATTTGGAAGATCTGATAATTGTTCTATTTTTATCCGTTTTAGCACCTTTTTACATCTTCTACTCCTAATATTGATAACTGTTTTTAATTTGCTCAGTACAAAATGATCATCACTATCAACTTCGGAGCCTCTAAAGAATTCTTGTGTCTTCAACTAAATGGACTTTTGTCTAGAATAATATAGTCAATTATGAATTTATGTGAATATCCACGTGAATTTATGACTCTCTTTGTGTTGGAATATTGTATTAGTAAGCACTAGTGATAGTGAATGACAAGGACAAAACTCGACCAGTCTTTTTCCACTGTTGTTAGGCATTCCTTTCTCACCAAACTTACCTAAAATGCTGTCAGAGATGTAGTTGTCGTTTCCCACTCTACTATTAAGATCCCCAGCTAGAACTATTTTTTCATTAATATTTGTCTTTACTGATGGGTCATAAAAGTCATAAAATTCTTCTACATCTTCCTTCTTTGAGCCTTCAGTAGGTCCGTAGACACAGATGAATCTCATTATCCACTTTTCTATTTTAAATTTTGCCCAGATAGCTCTGCTAGAGAGTGCTTCCCATTCTATAAAATTATCTTCCATAGCAGATGTAAATGCTATGGCTACACCCTCCTTGCATTGAGCATCATTTCCTGAAGTAGATTAACGTATATTTATTGTTTAGGCTTGTTTCTCCAATTTTAATTTTCATAGTTTCAGCGATAACAACCTTCATTATACCTTTCTAGTTCTTCAGCTAATTCTTCTTCCTTTTTATTCAGACTTATAACATTGATTGTACTAATCCTGATTTTTATTCTAGTAGTATATTTAGCGCTGTGTCCTGGTTCCCTGACCAACACAGCGGGACTTTGTTGATCCAGGCGACATACCAGCTGGGATGTCGCCTGGATAAGCATGGAACGGAATACATGCACCAGTGAACCTACACCTACACGATTTATATTTTATAAATAATTAAATTCACTTACCATTTAAAACTTTCGAATTTCGAAAAACACAAATACAGTATGCTGATTCACAACGGACAACCGTTTAACTGAAGTGAAACGGGTTTAAATTAACAGAAAGTCATAGTTTCAAAGTTAACAGAAAGTCATAGTTTAGTAAATCAACAGAAAGTCAGACTTTCTGTTAATTTGATATACCATGCTTATAAGTTTTAACCGATAAAGAAATCCATTATAGTTGGTTAATCCTATAACAGCAGCCCATTCTCGTTCGTTTTCGATAGTTCAGTTATTTGGCTATCAATTTCCAGATTGTCCCATGGGGAGGAGAATGGACATTAGATCGAGTTTCCAGTTGGTACCTCACAGTGGCGTAGCGCCCAAAGAGCCTCACAGAGGGGTGCCCAAATGGTCTCCAAGACAAACTATATGTGTTCTGGAGGGGAGAGGGAGGGGGAGGGGGCGACAATAAAGTGTCGTGCCCCGGGCGCCATTTATGTTCGCTACGCCACTGGTTCCTCATGTGCCAGACTGTCTAGGGAATGCGAGTGGCTCACTCTGGTTGAAAGACTCAAACCTTTAACAACCCTGTATATCTAAATAAATTTTAATTTATATCGCTTTCTTATATTTTCAGAAAAATTTAGAGGAGAACTTCTCTAGAAGCGGGTTCAAAGGATTTTCTGATGCTCTTTAATCTGAATAGAATAAAAACCATTTGTTTTTTCGGACAAGAAATTTTAATACTGCAAGAATTACTTTCACTTAAACCAGTTACAATCTTTCATTAGGTATCAATATAATGAAAATTCACTGTTTTATTTAATATATATACCCGTATTTTACAAACTATAAGACGCACTTTATTCTTCGAAAAATTGCCTCCAAAATTCAGGTGCGTCTTATACTCGAAATTAATATAAAAATGTCCAGTGTTTGATTTAAAATTCCCGCGTCTGAAAAATGGTCATATATTTGATGCCGCGGGAAAGCTATCTCTATCTGGCAACATTGAATTCAACTGGCAGCATCAGTGCACCGATGCGACGAACATTAGTTACGGGGTGTCGGGATAGAATCGTCTGGACGTACGATTCCCGCGCTTTTTCTCTTTTCAAACGAGCAACGGTTGTCGCCATAGAAACTCGGATCACGAGACGACCGGTGGTTCTAAATCCACGACCGCGGATTGGCCAGCGATCATCGTGCGACCATCGTACGATCAGCGGACGTCTGATAGCGCTACTAAGCGTTGATTGGTGGATCTGCGTTTGCTTCAATCGTATAAAAGGATTGAATTTAGGCGGTAAAAATGTTATTTTTTTTAAAAATTGCTTAAAAATTAAGGCGCGTCTTATAGTCCGTATTGCAAGTTAAATTACTTAGTATAGTCTTATACTAAATAATTTAACTTGCAATCACACAGATTTATCACTTACAGTTTCAATAACTAGGTAAACAATTAAAAATATATAGTTTATAAAAATACAGTACATTCAGTATATCAAGTTTATACGATATATTTAATAATCATTTAACGAGAAATTAAAAGTTTGTATAGCAAAAATTAGAATATAAATCCAGAAGATTAAAATTTTCATTTCATAATACGGTATTCAGGTAAGAACCTTATTTTCAGGACGTGGTGAGATGTTGAATGGCCTTGCTGTTTCTACAAAATGCCACAAGAGTCCTACGACGGTAACACAACGTGGCGAAGTCATGCCGCCACTAAAATAAGCATGCGAGTTTCTATCTCTCTGGCCGGATGCCTGCGAGTTCGAGGCGTGTACGGGTTTGCGGAAAGTGGAACGACCTGAAATGAGGTTAGTCGCGAAATACACAATTGTAACATATATTGACGAACAGTTGCGGATAACTGAAAATAATATTTAGAAATTTATTTTTTCTTAATTGTTATTTAGTAGAATTTATTTTATATTCGGGTGTTTTGCGATAGTTTTCTTCTTGTTGTCTTTGAATAGTTTAATTTTTATTGATTTGAAAGATATTAGTTTACAGCAGTATCCGTAACAGATCTGTTTTGTTTTGTGTCAAATAGTAATAACAGTAATATTTGACTACCGAAGTTGCAAGAATGAATGCTATTTTTATTGATGTATCCGGACTTCAGACCGAAAGCTAAGAGCTACACACATAAACTGCTAAGTTTTGAAGAGAACGAGAAAGAAACGAAGAATAAACTCGATAAAAGAATAATGAAAGTGTTTTTTTATCTAATCGTGCAATTTCCAGAATAGGTGAAATGGATTACCACTTCATCTATTCTGAATAATCACTGCAAACAAGTTGAAAAAAAATCGTATTTGTTTGGTTTTCTATATTAATTATAGATACGTTTGATAGATCTACATAAAAATAACTAAACACAATATATATATACCCATCATATTTGTAATAAATTTAATAAATACACTCAAACACACTTTTCAATTAATCTGAAATTTGTATTTCTTTTCTTTAAAACGAGTACGAATAAAAAACACAATATTTCGAAGTACAATAAGCAGAAAAAACACGTTTCATAAAAATATTGAATAAAAACAAATTTTTATTGAATATTTTTATGAAATAGTAAAATAGTTTGTTACGTAACAACCACAATTATATTACATATTTGTTTAAAATTTATTAATATCTAATAATAAACACTATTTAATTTAAATGTGCCTTAATATATACAAGTATTTATAAAGGAGTATATTAGGTCAGTGATCTTTCTTTTGATGTTTTAAAGAACACAGAAAGAACACAAAACCCAGAAAAATCAACATAAACAAAGATAAAACATAACCAACAGCTACAAGTAAAACAAAAAAATTATATCAAATAATAATAATAAGCAAAAATATCTCTGACGTTGTTTGAATTATAAAAATAATTCTTCTTTATATCTTTTCTTTGTCGATTTCAAAAATAATTGAAAGGCTCGTGGAAAGAACGATCAAAGTCCACTTTTACTGAAAACTGGCAATTTTAATTTTAAAGTTTGACAACTTGCCAAGCTGAATGTCTAAATAAAAATGGATTTTTTCCCTTATAATAAATGCTTTAAATCTTTTTAAAGCTGAAAACGTGGATGAAAGTCGCACAATCAAAATGTATTTATCCAATCGTTAATCGTCGTGAAATTACGGCAAATTTCAGTGTTCATGGTGTTCAGCTGACACAAATTGCTTTAGAGCTTGGGAATTGTTGTGTTTTGTCTGAAGTAATGGAATATGAGCAGAATAAAGGCTTTTCCAATTCGCTTGGAATTACGTTTTATGGGTTCAGATGTAAGCCAAAGTCCACTGTACGCATTGCGATGTAGTACGGTAGTCACTGATGTCATTTTTCGTTCCTCGTTTTTGAATGCTAAAAGGAGACAGAAACGGGTAAAATGGAAGTATAAAACCGTTGTAATTCTTGAACATGTCCTGTTTGCATTCAAACACGTAAAATAGTGTTAGCTTTTGTCCTGCTTCAAAAACTACTTTCATCCAGCCGTATGGTTCATAAACAATTGACGTTTGGTTTACTAAACCGAAATCTTTATCGCATTCCATGTAAATATGCCCTCTTATAGGAAATATGACTTTTATACTTTCAAGTCGACCTGATATTGTTACTTCACAATGAAACACCCTCAATACAATAATTTCTGTTTTGCCCTGAGCAAGCAACGCAAATATGCAAATTTTTCATCAAATATTATCGAGAATATCCATGAAATTAATCAACAATTAAACTATATCATTGGAATCTTTTTGCCATGGTTTCATCGTACATATAAAAATAACTTTCTTTGTGGATGACATATGAATATTATGAGCGTTGCAAGACAGTTGTCACCCTTAATATCCATCGTTTGAAGAAACGTTGGGCACAAGGAGATTTTTACAATAATAAATTGTTACACTTTTGTGCCTTGTAGAAGCATTACTTTTTGCCCTTACTTTTCGCTTTTTTTTTTCGGAAAACTTATCAGCTTTATGTAAATGTAGATTTAGTTTTAATTTGCGCTCTTTCAGCAAGTCGACTGGACTGCGAGGTGTTTTGGAAGTGCTATCGATACTTCCTGAATTACCGAGATCAGGAGTTCCTGTTTGATCATTAGAAATCACTGAAATTAGGTAAGCCCTATTGTTCTTTAATCTAGGCAGCATCACAGAAACTGCAAGTATCTGTTTGTGGGTCTCTAAAAGTAATGTCGTATTCATTATTAAATATTCGGTGATACTTATATTTCGAAAACTTATTGTTGGGGTATTTTTCCTTAAACATTTTCAGAGGCCCAACTTTTGGAAACGCTTGAGAAGTGGGTACTATTATTTCGACGACGAGCTGTTTGTGTTTAGGGCTACGTGCTCACGAAGTTTCGTTTAAATCGGAGACCCGAACGTCTGGCCCTCCCCTTGCTAGAAATAGAAATCATTTTTGAATAATTTTTTAACGAATAATTCTGAATAACACATTTGATCACAATGTTTAAACAGTATTTCACACGTTCTGTCGTGTCAAAATTTTTGTTTTAGTCTACTGAAAAAAGATCAAAGTGAAAAAGGTCAGTCGATAAAAAATCCCAATGTGAAAACGCTGGGCGGCATTACACAAAATTGCCTTCGGTTCTCGAAGTCACTTCCTACTTTTCTTCCCGAACTTGCCGCGTGATGTCATTGAATCGCTAGATGTGTGGTGCACAGGACTGTCATTGTACAGAAGCTCAATAGTTTGCTGTTTTTCCTGAAGTGTGATTTGTGATTCAATTTAAAGCTGAATGTCGAAACCAGCAGACTAGGATTTTATCGCCACTTGCTACATAAAATTTCTGTCTATTTGAATCTATTTTCTTATATCCTGTTTGCAATTTTGGTTTTCATAATTCTTCGTATTTTTCTTCTACATATACTTTCTATATAAATCAGTAACTTCACGTGTCCTACATCAGCCTAGTTATCATGACTAGAAATTATATATGAATTTAATTATAAATTAATATATTTATTAAGTATAAATATAATTAATAAATACAGTAAAGCATCGATTATCCGACCCCCGATTAACCGTCACATCGGTTAACCGACCGTTCTAGTCGGAAAATTTCAAATGTCCGCTAGTGATGTGGC